AACTCCACTACAAATCCAATCCCAAACCATCATCCCAAGAAACATAAGCATTTTCATCTTGGCCGGTCAAAGCAACATGGCGGGTCGAGGCGGTGTTTATAACGACACCACCACGAACACCACCGTGTGGGACGGTGTAATTCCGCCGGAATGTCGATCCAATCCTTCGATCCTCCGTCTCACGGCCAAGCTCGAGTGGGAAGAAGCTAAAGAGCCACTCCACGTTGATATTGATGTTAACAAGACCAATGGTATTGGACCGGGAATGATATTTGCAAACCGGGTGGTTAACCGGTTTGGTCAGGTGGGTTTGGTTCCTTGCTCTATAGGTGGGACTAAACTAAGCCAATGGCAAAAGGGTGAGTTTTTGTACGAGGAAACGGTTAGGAGGGCGAAAGCTGCGGCTGTGGCTAGTGGTGGTGGCTCGTACCGGGCGGTTTTGTGGTATCAGGGTGAGTCGGATACGGTTGATATGGTGGATGCTTCGGTTTATAAGAAGAGGCTAGTCAAGTTTTTTAGTGACCTTCGAAGTGATTTAAATCAGCCAAATCTTCCTATTATTCAGGTATGTTATGCTAAATATACTAATTAATGTAGGCTCTAATTGATAATCCATAAAGGATTTTATAATTTTGCGGTATGTTTTCCGTAAGTTTAATAATCCAAAAAACAAAATGTTATTCCACGGTTTCTAAATAAAATTAAGACTTTGATTGGTGGTAGTAGAGTAACACTACTTATTGGAATAGTGACATATTGGAAAATAAAACTATACGAATACATGCAGAATTAAAAACCAAAAAAAAAAAAAAGTGAGAAAAGACTTTATACATTTGAAAAAAGGCCAAATGACGTTTTTTTTATTATTATAAATCTTGTTGAATTGCTGATTTAATGCATTTGTGACGATATTTGATACTGTTGAAAATTATTTTATTTAATTTCGTGATTATTGAATGTACTAATCCAGGCTGTAGCTAATATTATATTGTACCAATCCAGGCTGTAAAATTTATTTTTAATTTGGTCCTTTTGGTCTTTGCCAAAAACTCTTAAAAAAAATATTGATATTACATTCTTCTAATGTCTATGTTTGCCTCTTTTTGTTTTTTTTTGTTTTTGACCTAAATAATAACAACAAAAAGGTGGCACTAGCTACTGGAGCAGGACCATATCTTGACGCGGTGAGAAAAGCTCAATTGGGGACAGAGCTTGAGAATGTGCATTGTGTTGACGCAATGGGACTACCTCTTGAACCGGACGGTTTGCATTTGACCACATCTTCTCAGGTCCGGCTCGGTCACATGATGGTCGATGCTTTCTTGGCCATTCCCAACTCGGCTCGACCACCATTCTATTGCTTTTCTTTCTTTCTTCTCTTTCCGCTACTTTTTGTTACAATATTTTTGGACCTACCTTAACA